AGGTATAACAGGACTACATGGTACTAAGAGTAACAAAGGCCGTATTACTCAATCGTTAAGCTTACTGTATAGATTATTAACCTCTGACAAGACCTATGATCACGTATCAAGTTATTGTTTTATTCCACATTTAGGGAGAGATTTTTACTGCAAGATTTCACCCTGCTGGAGACACACTGGCTTCTGCAGGATTTGATCGACTTATTTGTGAGTTGCAACAGATATGCATATAATACATTTGTTTTAAAATAACACTCTGCCTTATCAATTGTGGCTTGAGGTGCGGTGGCCTCATGGCTAGTAATGTTCAAGTTTGGATTGGATGGTCCAGGATCGAGTCCTGGCCAGGAACATTGTGCTCTTGCACAAAACACTTTACTCTCACAGTGCCTCTCTCCACCCAGGTGTTCATTTTAGTATCGGTGAGCTCAATGATGGGGTAACCCTGTGATAGACTACAATCATGGACAAAAGTCTTGGGACAAATTTGCACTCGTGGTGCTTTTTCACACACGCCAAACAAACAGTCACGCGTGAATTCAACTACACTTGCTCAGCCCCTCCCCCCACCCCACCTACAATGTTGGACATTTCTTCAGAGTTTCAACATTGTATGGGGAGGGAGGAGGGGGAGAGGGTGCAGAAACGAATTTTGAAAAGGATAACCGTGCTTTTTCAAACTCCGTTTGTAAAACACAGATAATTCATGCAATGACACAAGCGTCTCCAGGAATTTTGTCCACCATTGTAGTATCCTATCCAGGGGAAATTAGAAATACTCCTAGTCACTTCATGCTACTGAAACTGGGATAAGAATCAGCCTGATGGGACACTTGGCTTGTACAGACTTGACCTTATCAACTGTGGACTGCAGACTGCAGTGTTGGGAAACTTACCCTTTCAGAGTTTCCAAATGTACCATTAAATGTTGTAAAGAGCGACCAGCTGCCCTGTCATTCTAGCTCGCACCTTATACTAGTTATCGGCTTTTGGCTTTTGTAAATTA